CAATCAGTGCGCTAGTGTGGACGAATTCCCTTGAGAACAGGAGAACTCTGTGTCAAATTTTATGTTGCTCTCTTTGTGGCGCGCGCAGTCGCGCCACCGTTACAGTAGTGTAGACGGCAACGCAGTTGTAGACAAATAGTGATGGACGCGAGCCGCTTGTGTCTTGCGAGGATATAAGAGGGCAGGAGATAGCAAGGCTGTGTGCGCTAGTGCTCCGGAGAGTATAGGAGAATAGGAGAGTACCAGATGATGTATAAAGCACCAGTCTAATATTCCTATTCTTCTATACACTTCCCGAACACTAGCGGCCGGCGCCGATCGATACCAATCTATGGCTACATTCGAACCAGTAAAGAGTCATTGCCGCGGCGACACGCTACCAAGCGTGCGTGGTGATGTCTGAATGCAGCCTTCAGTGTCTTTCCAGTGCGATGTTATCTTTGGTGCTCTCATGGCAAGTGTCTTTGTTTGGCCTTCCGGTCCGTCTAAAGACGACCCTTTTGCATCTCTCCGCTTCTTCTATGTCGACTCATCTGTTCCCAGTTCCTTTCACTCCTTTCACTGAGCCGTGTTCTACTTTTACGCCCGGTACCGCAGTAAGGCAATGTGATGGATCTCGCCGATAGTGAACGTAACCTCATATTTCATAAGAAAAACATGTACTGAATCCTCACAGGCGCTAATGCACTTCTGCACTGATATTTATCGATTTTCGAATTCTTCCTCTTCAATGTTACACATCTATTGGCTTGGCCCGCAAGTAATAGCGTTTTTTTTCAAAAAATCGCGTAAAGGTGAAAAGATTTGTTACTGAGTTCAATACTGTTTTGCAGAACTGAGAGCTTACTGAACTCCTATTTACGGAGATTCATGCCAAAGACTGAGGAGTCGTTAGAGGTCATGCAATGCTTCCTTATCAATATCGAGCATCCCCTCATTTGATGTTAGGCGTTAGAAAGTTGGCGGCAGTCGCTACCCAATACGTACCTCCATCGCGACGCACATTTACAGGTTTAACTCCCGCTGTTGATCGCTCCAACCACTTCAAGCTGCCATAATGAAGATTCTTTTCCCAACTGGTATAGTATATCACAAGTTTTGAGTTTCTGCATCTTGAGAGCGAGATAAGTGCAAAAATGTCGAAAACTACGTTTTTGTGTCGACCCGAATATCACAGAGAATCAAGGAGCAGTGGGAGGCAACTGGCTACTGTCTCATAGAGCGAAATTATCTACTCGGATAGGTGTAGAACACATCGCGAACGCGTCTTCCTATACAAATTTATTGTAAAAACGGCCATTATTCATGCAAACCGAATTTCATACTACCGTCACGCTACCAGCTCCGTGAACCAATCGCATTTATTAAGCACTGGAATGATTTGCTAGTTCCATCACGAAAATTTATCAGGTCGTCGAGACTACTTACAAAACCAACAGAACTTACTTGAGCAACGCGTCGATGTTAATTTCAGCGGTGAGATAGTAATGAGGAATTGTGCTCTTGCTTTCCGTTAAACGCTTTGCAATAGTACTGCGCATACCCGTAAGGGGAATATCCTGGAAAGAGAAAGCGGTTTGAATGAGGATCACAATTATGTAACAGTCGTGATATATTCCTGTATTAAGTGTAAACATACTGTATAAGCAGCACCCGGCGTACTAGGAATGGCTGGACGCGCTGCTGCAGCTCCGGCAGCTGCCGGTGCGGCCGCACCAGCCGGAGCTCGTGCAAGGTCTGCTGCTAGAATTCGTCCACCAGGACCCGTACCAGCTACTCCCTGCAAAAGCGGTAATATGACCTTAGACTGATGTTGAACTGTAGGAAACTTACACTTATATCCACGCCACGCTCAGCAGCGAGCTTCCGGGCGAAAGGCGTAGCGCTTACATGTCCTCCTGGATGAGCAGCTGCAGGTGGAGGGGGTGCAGCAGCCTTAAATGGTTTCCTTTGTCATATTAACACCAGTATTCCCCTTGAATAAAGACAACTGAAACAGTTTACCGAAGGAGGCGGCGGAGGGGGTGGTGCAGCCGCTGGTGCTGCGGGAGGTGGTGAGGCTGGCGCAGGAGCAGGCGGTGGTGGTTTCACTGTTGCTCCATCATCTTTGAAGTTCTTGAACGCTGCCACTTTATCTTTGCTGTCGACTATTATGCAAAGTAGCTAAAATGAGAATTCGTTGACAATTAGGAAAATGTAGGGAGTTTATGAAACGACTCACTTTTCCAATTGGGACGCCCCTCGTGTCTTCAGGAATGACAATTTTTGCAAGGAAACCTTCTTCGGGAGTTTCAAAACCCATGGTGGCCTTGTCCGTCTCGATCTCACACAACACGTCACCTTCAGCCAGTTCGTCTCCCTCTTTCTGAACATGAAGAAAGTAGACCTATGTGAGACTGCTTCGCCCTCTATTGACGATAATCGAGGCATTTTGGCAAAATCAGAGCTTGTACAAAACCACAATGACGCGAGCTATTTCGCAGTTGTTACGGTTATAATATTAATATTTTCAATACTTACTGGCTCAAGGATAGTACTTTCGAAAGATGGATCAAAAAATTACGCCAGAGAACATTTTAGGGTAAAATTAAAAGAGCACAAAGTCGAACCTTCTGCCAGCTAACTATCCGGCCAGTCTCCATAGTCGGTGAGAGAGCAGGAAGGGCAATACGGCTACATGGCG